AGGGGAAGATCTCCGTCGATCTTCTTCTCTTTTGTAATCGGAACTTTAAATTGTAATCAGTTAGAGATTGAGAGAATTGTAAACATTCTTTTTCTAAGCGGTTAGAAGGAATAAATCAAATTCAATTCTTTCATTTTCTTTTTACAATTTTTCCCATCAAACAGCACGCAAAGGCATACATTTGCGATTCCATTGAGAGATATTTCTAAGAGAAGACTGAGCTAGCTTCCAAGCAATTTAATCCTCATCAACAGCAAAAAGACCCATCGTTTTAGTCGGTGAGTCAAGGGAGTACAAGATCGACGCTCCACCGGCACACAGAAGAGAACCCTAGGAAAAATAAAATTTTTTCTTCATTTCATTGTAGTTATTTTTATTATAATCTGTGTTAATTACAATTCAAAAGAACCATAAACAGTGATAAAATTTTTATTTATTTTTTGAGAAAATGGTCGTAGCCTTGTGATAAATATTTATAATTTTGAAGTTGATGATTGTATTAGCTCAATAGTTAGCTTACACTAATATTTATGAAATGGGTTTTTATTGATTATAATTAATTGTACAAATTTAAAAAATGATAGTTAATATTTATTACATTTTTTGGGATTAATCGGATCACTGGTCACTATATTTATCTCATACTTAGACCGTTCACACCATGTTTTAATTACTTGGATGACCAGTCATGTAGTTAAATACTAATTGGATCACTAGTCACTTCTAACATTTCTTTTTTCAAATTAAGCTATTTATTATTAATTATGTTCAAGCAATTAATACCCCATAATCAATGTGCCACGAGTTTATATTTTCAAGAACAAAATTCCGAATGTCATATAATTACATACTACAAGTCGCGTGAGATGCCAAAAAGTTTATTTGATCCATAAGTGATTAAGTAATACATATAGGTACGTTGTATTAAATAATCAAAACTTTTTATGTTATGTCAGCGAAATTACATTATGTTAATTAGCGAAAAACATTAGAAGTGATTAACTACCCCATTAGTATTTAATTAGATATTCTATCATCTAAGCAATTAAAATATAAGTATAAAAGTCTCTAATTATAAGATAATAAGTAACCAGTGATCCAATTAACCTCATATGTCTCCTCCCTTGGTCCCATATTTTGGGTCCCCGTAGCAGCACTCTTGTTCATAGGAAAATGATTTAAGGACCCAAAATATGGGACCAAGGAAGGGGACAAGTGATGTGTCCCCTCCCTATTGCATAATGAGTTGGCATGGCCAACTCATTATGCAATAGGGAGGGGACACCTCACCTGTCCCCTCCCTTGGTCCCATATTTTGGGTCCCCGTAGCAGCACTCTTGTTCATAACACGATTGTCTATGGCGACTCCTGCAACAATTTATTTTTTACCCATCAATTTATTTTTTACCCATCAATTTGAATGGATGTAGGGCCCAACTGGAGTGGGTGTAGAATTGAGTGCGTTTACGCGTGAGGTTCTTGGCCGGGGTGTGTGTGTGTGTGTGTTAAATCTTCTGGAAGAGGAAGCATGTTTCCGGGAAGCAGCGCGATGGCGTCAGCCATTTGATGCGTGGCTTTGACTCGTGTGACTTTGGGTAGGGTTTTACTGTTAGGTCCATATCAGTGCGGCTTTTCTTTTCTACTTCACATTTTGAAGGTGATGTTGAAAAAAAAAAAACAATGACAATACGCAAAATAAAGCCGTGTAAGTATAGTGGTTTAGTTATACATACATTTTTATTTATTGCAGCTGCAATTTTCTATCTGCATTTAATTCTACCTGCAATTGCGTAGTTGAATTTTAAAAGTTTTCAATTTGCACCTCCCGCGCGTTATAGCTGTAGGTATTTGTTTTGGAGCATTGATTTTTTGGACCTTTGGCGAGTGGCAACAAAAATCACATTAACAACTTAAAAAGGATTAAACTAGACCTACGTATAATAAAACTATACTATCACGCTATCTTTACTTTCGAAAATATGTTATTGAGGGGACAATACCATAGATTCAATATAAGCATGCACCTTCAAAACTACATTTCATGCAACCAATTTACTTGGTTTGCTCCGTTCATGTCAATATTTATATATGTTTTGGGTGATAATGAATTAAAAAATCAGGCATGTTGAGTCACTGTTGCTCATATATTAAGTGATTGTAGAATGAAAGGTCTTACGATAATACAACTAAAAAGACGATAAAAAAAATAATATCTTGGAGGTTTCTTGTTCTGTAGATGTTTTGAGACATTTAGATTATGATGGATAAAGTAGATCGTCTATTGAGATAATTTAATCTATACATCAGAATGTGCATCCTTAGATTGAATCCAGTACGCCTCCTTAGTGATATATTTCCCACTAGTTTCAGTAATGTTTTACTTTTCAAAATGACAACGCAACTAAGCAAAGGCCTGTCCGTTCAAAGTCCACATGCTTCATCGTGAAGACTAGGTAGTTGGTGACCTAAACAGCACATGCTCCAAAAAGGGGTGGTCGATGTAGCTATCTACCAAACCTCTCTCAAACTAGTTCATTTGTTACCTCTCTCACAAGCACCCTAATATATAATACAAGACTTGAGAATATTACAAAGACGCTTTAATTTGTAGCCTTTTTTTTTTACTTACTTAATTACTAACTCGGGAGAAGTTTAATCAGAATGGGTAATTCTCACAAAACTCCCAACTGTGAAATCAGAGAAAAATCTCTCTGAACTTTCAAGAGATGATACTAACCCGCTGAAAATTCTCTTGCCCAATGCCATCGTGTTGAAGAATGGAATAAAAAGTTCAAAATATTTCATCGTATGTATTTGTTAGCTATGTATCCTTACTCGATAGGAACAAAACATGAGTTAGAATCGTTAGATAGAGGTAAGGAATTGTCCAGAAGTTACCTGCAGTCATTAATATAGTTAAGTGAGAAAAGTAGAGAGAGATTTCTCAGATTAATTAATTCGCAGTTAATAAGTGAAGGGCTCTGTTTGGACTTGTCCTACAGCGGGGATTGGGATCCTCTACTAATTGATCCTCTACTAATATCTACTAATAAAGAGATCTTAGCCTTTGATTTATCAATCAAAGGCCAAAATCTCATCCTTATCCTCCCCCTACTTTTGCTCATGAGGAGATCTTGGCCTTTGATTGATAAATCAAAGGCCAAGATTCCATTAGAAGGTATTAGAAAGCTCCTCATTAGTAGAGGATCTCAATCCCTACAGCGGGGCCTTGGTCGGACAGGGACGATCTGCTGACGTCGTAGATGACGGAAGGTGATCAGGAGTCAAAGAGTTGACTGAGATCATGCAAGAAGTAGGCTTTCATACTGCTAATGGGGTTGGGAGCTATGTATGGGAAATCGTAGTTTTAAGTGGCGAGAGATATTTGCCATAATTACAGTTCGGTTGGTGTGGGGCCTACTTTAGAAGCTGACTTTCTCTATGTCAGTGCTTGATTAGCGGAAAGTTGGCTAGCTAATTTTGTCAAATGCAACCTAGGCTAAAGTTGGGCTACAGCATGAATACTAAATACATAACACACACTATGAAATGTACATAATAATACGTACTGTTAAGTTTTGGACTAAATGGGGCTCGGGGATTCTCCTTCCTTCTCTCATGACATGAAATAAAGTTCCTCCGTTTATAAAGAGCGGGGTCACCCCAAGCAGAGGAAGGATCGGAGAGTGGTTAGGTGAACCTAACTGCCTGCTCTCCCAAGGACAATGCATCTTGACCGATGATATGGCTCACTCTATCTCCTATCTAACCTCAATTAAGGAACATCTCTCTAATAATATACTTAGCATTTGACAACTAATTATTACAGAAAAACCGAAGGTGGTTTCTATGAACAAAATAAAAAATAAAAATCTTCCCGATAACATCATAAGTTTTCATTTCCATAAGTGATCAAGACATTACACATAGGAAAAAGTCTGCGATGTCAATATCAAGGCGCTTTTTATGCCACATCAATTAATACATTTGTCTTTAATTACATGACCAATACATATGCACGAGCATCCAAATAAGCGATAAATACAATGACCAACGATCCAATTTAGTTACAAAATATACCTATCGCAATAACGACAACATGTAACAATAGTAGCAACAATTGCGATTATCTACAACTGACTACTAATAATTAGAAAATCACTTTTGTGTTAGCTCATTCTATGAAGCGAGTAATGACACCTAGGCATTCCTTGGTAGGGGGTGAGATGAGAAGAGGGGAGATATAAAACTAAAATTTGAGTTTAGTGTGGAGTTTTTGATGGGGAAGGTAATGTGAGGGATAGGACAATGAAAATGAACTAAAAAGTTAGAAGAAGAAAAATCCCCTCAAGCTAGGAGGATACAAGGAAAGAAAATGAACTACAAAACATTCAACTCTCCTGATATTCCTCCAACCAAACATGTAAGTCTGAAATGTATGACATCAACTATGTGCATCCTTGACAGTAACCCATCAAGAATGTTGACATCCCAAAGGATAAATTGCTGACGAGGCATCCTTGACGGGTCCTTTCAAGGATGCACTATCTTGACAAGTTTTTGAGCATCCATGATGGGATTACGGTCAAGGATGTTCAGTTCTCCATTAGTGCCACCTCACCTCCTCTCTCTTCTCAGACTATCTTAGATTCATATTGGGTTCTCTTTTTCATCAAATTATCACCAACTCCCTGGGCAACTTGCCTAGATTACTCAAAAAATAAAAGAAAAGAGAAAAGGAAGAAGAAAAAGAAAGAAAACGTAAGACCCAGCTCATCGATTAGATTTGTCACCCCTCAATTCATGAGGAAGAGAGGTTACTCTGCAATTGCACCCATCTTTTTAAGCACAAAATGAAAGGCAAACTAGCTATCAAAATTTTTGTAGGAGAACCGGCGAAGAAAATGTCTACGTTTAGCGTAAAGTGTGGGCATAGTAGAAAAAACTGTGGAAGCAAGACATAACATTGACCAGTTAATACAGCTGCAAGACTAAGAGACTAGCGATGATGCTTCCATCAATGCACTTAAGTTCAAAATTTATCCTTACAAAGCAAGATGGCTTAGCTTCCCGAGACAACAAAAACCATATATTTTCATGTACCTCCATCAAGATAATTCTCTGGTATAGTTCTACAATTATTCCCAAAAGAACATTTAAGGAGTTATCCCGCGTATATCTCAGAAAATGGGTTCTACAAAAGGCTAAAACAACAATTTTCATCAGATTGTAAAGAAAATAGGATAACAAGTAACCACCACTAACCCAGCTTGCCTGTCTAAGAGCTGTTGAGTCCGTCCGAGTACAAGCACACAATTCATTACTAGTACAGTCGGAACTACTCTTCAAAATTATGATCTGCTTACTCCTTCCTGTCAGAAGTTATGAAAAATATTATTACTTTCATAAGCATACGAACTTTCAACCAAAGCACAACATGCTTATTTATGTATCATAAAAATTTCAGAAGATAGCGGAGTCAGAGGAGGAAAACAATGAGTAAAGGCCACAGGTTATTTGTAAGCATTAATCATCTTCGTAAACAGGTGACCACAATATCTAAAAACTGTGAGAATCCATTCATAAACTTGTGATTAATCATTGATCCCATCAGACGGCCAGGAACCAAAAAAGCGTATTGTTTCCTAAAAATGAAACAGTATCCCAAAAACTAGTTGGTCATTTTTTATGCATTTGCAGTTCAAAATCCACTTCAACTGTATCTTTTTAAACTTTTACTCTTGAAATGTTTACCACATGAGCAATAACCTACAAGTTAAATTTATTTACTTGAATGAGAAGCATTGCCCACATGGTTTATAAAATTTTTATGGACACTAATTAGTTCTCATTCAGATTGGGTTCATCCAACAAGCATTTCTCATGCTAACTCTCGATAATGGATAGAATCAGTTGGATATATTAATACTGAAGGCCAGTGGGTTCCATCTTTGAAATGGTGTTTTCATTAGGGTGACAATGCGAGCAAAGTTGAAAATTGACAGTTGCTTGAACCACATATGAAACAAGATGTTGCATATGAGTTCAATACTTTCAGTCAACCAAAAACAATTGACATGCACTCTCAATCAGTTTGTACAGAACATCCAACTGATCATTAGATTAGTTATAAATGGTGAACCATGGAGACAAACACAAAAGAAAAGTAAATATGGAGATACAACATTTTGACACGAGAACATGGGTACAGCATAAATATGACCCAAAAATATAACCATTAATACATACATATGCACCGAAAGTGAGACAACAGAATATGACTACACAAATAAGACAGATTTTAATATTTAATATAACATCATGGATACATCAATTACAAAATTATATATATGCATGTCAATTTGTAATATAGCCAAGCATATTCTTCATTCGGAAATTTGAAAAATACATATAGCTGCAATGCATCTATAAATCAAATAGGATTGTAGACCCATCACTCAGAGTTTTTTGTTGAGTAGGGTACATCACTAACGTGTATTCTATTATACGTCTAGAATATGTTGTGAAAAAAACTTCGAATACATCAAAAAGCGGGCGCTGTTAAAATAGGACTAAATTATCAAGACCCCCACCCAACCCCCCCCCCCCCCCAAAAAAAAAAAAAAAAAACAAAAAAAAACAGAGGAGGCCTGGGTGTTTTTTGCACACCGTCAATCTTTTTTATTGCCAATCTTTTCTCATCAGACCACCTTAGCTGTGATGGGCAAATTACTAAAAATTCTGAGAGGAAAGCCCCCAATTTAGTCATTTTCCATTCACAGGCAATGTAACGTCTTGTCCTCAATTAAGGTTTTTCCCCATCCTCAATTTCTCTCAAGGATATCGACTGTAGTTATTTGCTAATTATAGCTAGGGGGTTCTGGTGACCAAGATTTAAAGTTGGAGGAGAGGAGGGGGAGGGCGCAGTAAAAATTAACCCTTAAGTCTCTTCTATACTTGCTGTATACTAAAGTAAGATCCCTGGTTGCCACTTGGCACCTTCTGGTTGTTTTTACTATTGAACTTCCAATTCATATATATCTCCATTCAAATACCGTGACCCCTTATTACAAATCTAAAGTTTTTCATATATTCGTTAATGTCCTCAATGTAGCTACAACAATCCAACAATCCTTTGGTGTTCTCCATAAAATTGTAATTAAATACCTCTATAAATCACTTTCTCCATTCATGCACAAAACTGATATCTCAACATAGCCATTGCAATCTTTTGGTGTTTTTCATTAAAATAGTAACTAAAGGCATCTACTAAATCACTTTCTGAATTCCTGCAAATTTCTCATAGTTCGATTTTATTAGGTACATCTACTTTGCAATCATGTACAATTCCTATTTCACTTTCTCCCTTGTTGCATATTCAGTTTGTACTCCTTTCTAAGTTAATCATTTCTTTTTCCTGTATAGTATCTGTAGCAAGAAGGTGAATATTCTTATTTTTTTAATTATTTCGCAGTTTCTTTTATTCTTTAATAAGTACATGTTCTAATGTTTTGTTTTGGTAATTCTTGCTATATTTTCTTGAGATTATAAGTTCTAAATTTTGTCTGGAGGCTTGCAGTTCATATCACACCTTCTCCTTTGTAAAAAGGTAAGTATTTTAAACTTTGATTAATTTCTAATTGCTTATGTTCTTTACAAAGTTCATGTTTATTTTGTTCATTCTTTCTATATTTTCTTGAGATCATAGATTCTAATTTTTTTATGGCAGCTTTTGATATTGCTTAAAATTTCCCATTAGTCTCTACGAATGAACATCTAATTAAACAATCCTATAGGTATTCCTGTACTATGTTAAAATCATCGATTTTTCAT